GGCTCGCCTCTCGTGGCGTCGACGTTCACCGCAAGTCGCCGCGACGGCGGCGGGTTGACGGCAGCGCAGCGCAACGCCCTGCGAACGAATGAGATGCGGCACATCAACAGCTCCCTCCTTGCGCTGCGCAACGTGGTGCGGGCCCTGCGGACCGCCTCGTCCGTCACGCGCGTGCCGTTTCGCGACAGCACGCTCACCACCATACTCGAGTCGTTCCTCGTGCCGGGCAGGGAGTCGGCCGTGGCGTGGGTGGTGTGCTGCTCCAGCAGGCAGCACGACTTCCACGAGACGGTCGAGTCGCTGCGTCTGAGCGCCGAAGTGGCCGCCATCCCGGCGTGCGTGCAGCTGTGTCCGCTCGGGTTCCCCGCCAGCCTCGCAGGCAAAAGCAGCAGTAGCGTTAACAACAGCAATCATGGTTTTGAGGCGGCAGGTGGTGAGCGGGCGTCGCACTCCAGGAGCGCGTCGGCGCCGGCGGCAGGAGGCAGGCAACAGCGGTACGACAAGAAACGGAATGACGTGGCCTCTGGTGCTGTCATTCACCGTAGAAATGGAAAGACAACTTCAACAACAACAGTGGAAACAACAGCTCCAGCGGGCCGTTACACTTGCTCTAATGACGCCGAGGAAGACGGCAATGAAAGATATCGTGGGGGCGGGGAGTTGGAGGCGTACAAGCAATACGCGCAGCAGCTTCTCGAACAGTGCAACACGCTGTGTGAACGCTATGATGAGTGCGTCCAGGAGCTCGCCCGCGCCAAACAGGCGTTGGATTCACGCGATGACGAGATTGCAAGACTTCGGATGGCGCTAGCCGCCCAGGGCGACCTAAAGCAGCAACAACAACAACAGCAGCAGCAGCAGCAGCAGTATCAGATTGCTGCACCCCCGTCTGCGTCCATGACAGCTGCTACTTGGGCCGCCCCTCCGGCGCCACCTGCTTGGCTGCGAAAGAAGGTTGTGCACTCCACAAGAGACAGCACCGCGTCCGTGCTTTCCTACACCCCTGTCATCTCGGCGGAGCGGCAGACCGTGGCGGCGGATGAAGCGGTGGAGAGGACGGAGGAGGAGGTGGCAGCGATTCGCCTCGTCGAATCCATCCTTCAGCGGCACTGCGTGCAACACGACCTGAAGCCTCAGAACAATGGTAGTAACACCACCACAACCAGCAGCAGCAGCAGCAGTGGCAGTCTGATGACTGAGCATGCCGCCCGCACACCGCTTGGAGCCCTGGCAAGCAACGGCGAAAGTAGCGTCGGGTTGCCCACCAACATGGTCACCACTACTGGTGGCTGCGGCGACGCCACGGAGACGCCGCTGTGCGCAAAAGTGTGCACGTCGGCCAAGGCGAAGGCGCATGCTCGTCGTGAGCGTCTTGTGTCTTTTGTGTCGCCCAGCAGCCACGGCGCAGTGCCGCTGATGCAGGTGGAGGAGGAGCTTGACCCAGGGCACATTGTTCCACCGCCGCCGCTGCGTTCAGCGCTTTGCGCCGTCTCGGCGCCGCCTCAGGGGGGACAGCAGCAGCAGCAGCAGGATGGGGAAAGAGCGGAGGGCGGAGCGGCAGCTGAGGAAAGCGCGGCAAGGATTCTGCAGCACCTTCTTTCGCAGAGTGCAGCGTTTATTGTGACGGCACCGCAGCGCTGTGTGAAGGAGAGAACGTAATAATAAAAGAAACTGAGAGGCAAGGGGTCCTGTTGTGGCTGCAGATACGCGGCCTCTATAGAATCCATTCACTCTGTCTAGGTGTATCATATTGCATGAGTATCGTTTTAGAATAGACGACTTGCTGCCGCGCTGCGGTGCCGAGACGATCAAAAAGTATTTGAGCAGGACACCGGAAGTCCATCCTGTGCCCCACCGCAGAATAGAGTGCACAAGTCACTTATGTGTCTCGTTGTTGTTGTTGTTGTTGTTGTTTTTCTTTGCTCGTTCGTGTCGTGTTGATTCTGTCTTGTTTCCTTTTGATATGGCACAAAGAGACTAACGCACAGGCGCACACGCACACATTAACGACATGACATTTGTTTTCGAGGCCCGTCGACTTCCGTTTGGCGATGCGAGGGCCCCTTCTATTCACGCAGGCAACGACAACAGCGACGCAGACGAGGTGCAGCTAAAAGATATGCCGGGTTGGAAGAAGCGTCTTTTGCCGCACGTGTTGAGTGTTGTGCAGAGCCGTTACGGTAACGGTGCGGAGTTACTGCGCTGGGAGGTGGCGTTGCGAATTGTGGAGGAGCTCCCCGAGCTGGAGTCGGCGCACGCACGCATCATAGCATACCGCGAGCGCCGACGTGAGGGCGCCATGACGGCGGAAGAGCATATGATGGAGGAGGTGCTGCGTGAGCGCATGGGCGACGACTTCCTCGACGACAGTGACAGCGGGAGTGTTGCGAGGGGGGCCTCATCTGATGAGGAGGAGGAGGACGAGGACGAGGAAATGGACATTGCGATGTGTTTCAATGCAAAGGGCGAGGTGGTGAGCATAGGCTCCGCCGGTCTCTTCGGTGGTCATGGCTACCATCCACAAAAATCAAAATCTTAAACGGCAGCAACAAGTGCGGGGTGAGTATTCGTTTTTTTTTTGGTAAAAGTGAAAAAGTGGATGCCTTCGTGATGTTCATGAGTCTGCGCATCCTTTATATATATATATACATACATATATATAAATATATATAACGTCAAGATGTGCGTGTGGGGTTGGGTGTGTTCGCCTGGCTCAGCGGACGGGTGTGTTCGCCTGGCTCAGCGGACGGGTGTCTCTTGTCACATGACTCCTCCTCCTTCCTTCCTGGTGACAGAGTAGTCCGTCACTCGCACGAAGAGTGTGCGTGTGTCTCCGTGTCTGTGTGTGTGTGTGTGTGCGCGCCTGCATCGACTCTGTGCCCTTCTCGCGGTGGCGCTTCTGACACCTCGTTGAAGAGCAGAAACCATACGAGAGGAAAAACGCCCGTGGCGCACGCAAACAATAGCGACGGCGTTGGCAGCGTCACTGGCGACCCAGCCCACCGCGCTGTCGCAGCAGCAGCAGCAGCAGCTGCAGGAAGGTGACGCCGCAGCACTACAGGTGCAGCGCTCGCCGTCGCACACACCAGAGCGAAAAAAGTTGCGCCTAAACGGCACGGATTCTTCCGCCACGGCGCAATTGGGTGATACCTTTTTTTCAGACATAAGGCAACGCTTCACAATGGGAAAAGAGACGAACGGTGACGACTTTGCTGAAAATGAAGACGGCTTTGGGGCTGGCCGGTGTGTTCGCTTGCTGGAGCCAACTCCACCCCCGGCAGGTGGGTTGGAAGATTTACCGGTCGGCGGTGACTCTACACAGAACCACGAGGACGAGCCGCGGCTGCTGCAACAGGAGCAGGAACAGCAGCAGGCAGGCAGCGAGGGTCGTGGTACTCCCATAGTCCCGGGTGAGTTCACAGGGCGGAGGCGGCTGAGTTTGCGGCCAGCGTCAGCGACGACAACGACGACGACGAGCGGGGGGGCCGCGAGTGGTACCGGTGGGGTGCGACGGACTCTCTCTCTCTTGCGGCGTAATCCTGCGCCGGCTTCTGCAGAAGCTCAGCACCAGCTGCAGCAGGAAGAGCCTACGTTGGGCATGAACGAAAAAGGGTCCGGCGCCCAGACGGACCCTGCATCGCCAGCAGAGCTTCCTCGCACTTCGGGCGCCACGACGGGAGTCGAAGACCAGCGGAGTGACGAGAAGGAGCAACGAAAGCAGCGCCCTTTGGCACCCTTAGTAGCAGCCCCAATCGGTGCGGTTGGGGAGGAATCTTCGTTGGCGCCGGCGCGGCGCCAGCGCAACTCCACCGAGTGGGGCGAGCTGATGTCGCCAACGCCGACACCACACAGTATGTACAGCTGTGGCTGCACGCCGAGTGTGCGCCGACACAGCAAGACGAATGTGCCGTTGCCCTCCGGCCCCACGCCGCTTGACTTCAGCTCGGTGACGGAATATGTCGAGACGAAGTATGAGGTGGGGGAAAAAATCAGCGAGGGTACCTACGGTGAGGTGTACATTGGGCGCTGTCGTGCGACAGGAGAGGCAGTGGCGTTAAAACGGCTCAAAGTGCTTCAGGGGCTCGACGGTTTTCCCATCACGTCACTACGAGAGGTAATTGCGCTACAGCATATTAATAAAGCCCGGGAGCGCATCACCGCCGGTGCCCCTGCTGCTGTACAGAGTGGCAGCGGCAAGACGATGGACCCTATTGAGGAAGTCATTGGACTCCGCGACGTGCTGCTGTCACGTAGCCACCATGACATCTACCTTGTGTTCCCGTACGTGTCGTGCAGCGTCGCCGGGTTGTTGCAGCGCCGCTTTCCCTTCACAGAACGAGAAATCGCATACGTGTTCAAAAAGCTTCTCACAGCGTTAAAGAAGCTCCACACGATGGGCATCATTCACCGCGACGTCAAGGCGGACAATGTTTTAATCCGAAATGACGGTCAGGTGCAGCTCTGTGACTTTGGGTTGTGCGTGTTTGAGGGGTCGGGGCGGCGTGCGCTGACGCCGAGCCTCATCAACTTGTCCTACCGGCCCCCCGAGATGCTGCTGGGCATCACCTCGTACGACGTGAAGGTTGATATCTGGTCCATCGGTTGCTTCCTCGCGCAGATGTATTTACGCGTCCCGCCATTCTTCCTCGCCAATCGGCAGGCTGCTGCTGCTGCGGCCAGCAAGGCGGACCCGCGCCACCACCGCCGCGCGGAGACGGAGCTGGAGCAGCTGTCGCTTATCACGGAGGTGCTGGGGCCGCTGTCGACCGTCGACCCCGACGCGTTCCCGGCAGACCGCTGCCAGCACCACGCGCAGCTGCAGCAATTGCGCGGGGTACTCAGCTCCACCGCCGCCTCCTCCCGCTCCTCCTTTAAGCCTTCGCTCGGATCCCTCTTTCAGCCGAGTTTCCTCTACACGGAGTTCAAGGGCTTCCCAGCGTGGTTCGTCGCGACGGTGCGGCACCGCCGGTACGACACGCCGCAGTTACTGCCGTCGCAGGAGTGCGTCGATGTGCTGAACGCCATATTTCAGCTCGACCCACGCAAGCGGCCGACGGCGGCGGAGCTGTTGGAGATGCCGTTCTTCGACCTGCACCGCACTGCGCCGCGACGCCCCGCCCCACGCGGTGACGCCGGCACGCCGCGGCCTTCGGAGGACGAACTCATCGAGGCGCACATCCGGCGCGAGATCGCAGCGAAGATGCAGCGCTACCACGACAGCCACATCGCCCCAGCCGCGGCACGCGATAACAAGTAAACGGCGCGGCGGAAAACAGAGAGGGAGAGAGAGAGTGTGTGTGTTGGGGGGGGGGGGGGGGAAAAAAAAAAAAAAAAGANCGGCGGAAAACAGAGAGGGAGAGAGAGAGTGTGTGTGTTGGGGGGAGGGGGGAGAGAAAAAAGAAAAAAAAAGAAGAGGGTGTGTGTTTGTGTTTGTGTGGGAATGAGTGAGGGAAAGAAGCGGTTGTGCAGGCGCAATTACGGGGCGGCGAAGAGGGGACGATGGACGGTAAAATGGAAAGAAAGAAAGAAAAAAACAACAACCAAACAAACGATTAAAACAAGAACAGCAACATCAGCAGCAAGAGGTGTACAAGCGGAGTAAATTGCTTATGTGTGTATGTGACTGTAGGTGTGTGTATGCGCGTTTGCGTGTGTGTGTCTGTGTGTGTGTGTTTCTTCGCTTCATGCCCCACAGGTGTGCATTTCGTGTTCCTCGCTCCGACGTATGACGGCATTGCTCCTGTATTTTCCTTTGGGTGT